CACAAACAAAATGATTTACAAAAGTCGAAAAAAAACTTGGCTTGGACTGTTGAATAGTCGTACAATGTGTCTATTATAGCTCATCGTTCTAATAGGGATTTTTAACTTCATGACTATTTAAAGGGAGGTAACTTATTTCAATATTTCATTTAGTAAAATATATTTCAAACGATTTAAGTATATTTAACAAACAAAAGGCATTCGATTTCATTCCAATATTTTATGATAATAAACATTAATTAACCCCAGTTTTATTAAATAAGATATTTTTGCTATTTTGCTTAAGATATTAATTCCTAATTTACTTAAAAACCATATCAGTAATTTTCACCAAATGTATGAAGAAGGGATCTCGAACGCAAATGGTTGAAAAGACTTTATTACTCTTTTAAATATCTCTGGAGGGGAGCTCACCAGCTCTCTGAAAACAAATTTGAAAAGAATTAGCACACCCAGATACATTCAAATTGAATATCCTTGAAAATGCGTCTGTATTGCCTGATTCGATTAATTTTAGTGGAAACTTATCGATAATCGCAGAGCGGGCAATCTTGTACGGTGAAAATAGACTAGGTACGTGAATGGTGTGGGTTTTTCGAGAAAACAATCATAGGGTATGGGGTCGGGGAAGATTGTCTCCATCTGTTTCTATAGTATCTATAATCCAACACCGTATACCATAACGGGGCATCGTTCACCACACTCAGTCTTTTCGCGCCTTGGGGAAAGTGAGAAAAAATTTAATGGCTGGATCGAATTGTCGTCTGCTATGTGGATGTATGTCTTGAGTTGGCATCTCCATCACAATTTCTGTAAGATTCGTAATTCAAAGACCAATACCCTCGAGAACAAGAAAATCTTTGTAAGGATTCAAATCAAATCTTTGTTTACATTACTTATATATCAATAATCTTTAGAATTGCGAAAGGGTTTACACCTCGTGATGTCACGTTATTCATAAACTATTAAAGGGAGGTAACCAATTTCAGTTTTTTATTCGGTGTAACAAACTTCAAAAGATTTCATGTCTTCTTTAGAATAAAAATATATGAAATATTATTCAAGAATTAGCATAAAATAACGTTTATAAAATCGGAATAAATTTAGTAGATTTTAGTCCTATTTTCAACTCGAGGATCTACATTTATTCCAGATTTTCTTAAAAACCACTACGATTATTTTAACAGAAAGTATTAAGATAAACCTCAAACAACTCAGGATCGAAAAGACTTTATTACTCTTTTAAATATCTCTAGTGGGGAGCTCACCAGCTCTCTGGTTAACAATCGAAAATAAATTAATCCATTCAATATTATAATCTGGTTACTCCTCGGTTGCCAAATAAATCTTACGCCCATTCAACACAAGATATCCACTGGAAGGAATCTGTTAATCTATAGACGATTTGTGAAACTACAGTTGTGTGGGATATGAAATGAAATGAATGGAGTTTTACGTCCTCATAGTTGTGTGGGGTAAACTAAAAGAGAAAGAGGGTGAGTTATGATCTAGAGTTATTTTTCTACCCGCCAAGGGCCGATAGTCAAAATTCTAATCACTTTCAATATTGAAAGGCAGACAACTATTTTCTGAATGTGGCAGATACAGACTATAATTAATTCGGGTTAGGTTGATAAATACTCCTTAACCCTATGGGACATAATTGGAAATAGAATGTAGTTTGGCTGACCTCTGAACTTCTTGTGTCCCTATTTAGAAATACTCCGATCAAGAACTCTTTATCATTAAACTATATATCAGGATTCCCCGAAATTAGCTTGTAAAAAAATAGTTTAAAGTAAAAAAAAGTATAAATGAGACTAAAATCTGTGTATTTCCAGAATGGGTTTTTAATCAACCCTGTAGTATAGTTTCCTCACAATATCATACACAATTGGAAAAACCATGGATTTTCACTCTTAAACGTGGGCGTTTCTGTCAAAACTAAAATACACAAGTGTTGTTTTAATATTCTCCTCCTAATATCCGGGATCGTTAACCTTTGAAAGTAAAATAGGCTTTTAAGCCAACTTTTCCGTTTCTGATTGAAGTGGGCAACACCCTGTGCAGTGTGCAATGTATCCCTTAAAATAAAGCTAGAGTTCATTGATTTTTTTTATTGTAACAAATCTTTCACCAGAAAAAACAAAATGAATTTTTATTTTTTATATTCGGCAACTATCGGTGGTTTCCGTACAAAATAAATTTCTAATTTTATATATTCGGCAACTATCGGTGGTTTCCGTACAAAATAAATTTCTAATTTTATATATTCGGCAACTATCGGTGGTTTCCGTACAAAATAAATTTCTAATTTTCTATTTTCGGTAACTATCGGTGGTTTCCGTAAAGTAAGTTCGATTTTTGATTAAAGGATATAGTAACAATGTAACAATTTTTTTTGTCTTTCTAATTTATAAACTATAATATTGACTATAATTTTAGACAAATATAATAAAAAAAAATTATATATATAATAACAACTTACTGTTGTAAAAAAACAAAATTTTAAACAAACAAAAAATACAAAAAAAAAAACAATCTAATAATCACAGTAATATTTAGTTAATTATAAAGAGTAAAAAAACAAAGAAAAATTCAGTCAGGTATATTAGAATAAGAAAAACCCAAAAAATTGAAATAAGAGATCAAAACTATAACGATTTCAAAGAATAAATATTTTGAGCTATTATATAGCTCAGATTAAGGAAAGTACCTAGGGCTCCTTATAGAATTAAAATCAGACGTGCCGTACTCTTACAAAACAACAAAAATTTAAAGAGGAAAATTAGACTCTCGTCACTTCCGGAACATTATGAAAATTTTCACGTAAAGACAGAAGTATTTTATAACGTCATTGGTATTGTGCGTGAATATTTGAGTGTGATATGTCGAAACGTTGCATTAAACTAATGACAAGTGCTCAAGACGATTGCATAGATAACATTTAGAGTAAGCAAGCCGGGAGTAAAAGGAAAAAATAATAAATAAAATAATTTCCAAAAAAACGTCCCAAAATTCGATAGGAAAGTTGCCTTGATATACCATTATTTGACATGTTATTTTGTTTGGGGCAGTACTTGTATTTTTATAATTTCAGGGTCTGATAATGACATCTTGAAGTCTATCTGTGAGAATTCTGAAAGAGATCAGTCTATCGACAGCTGAGATACTACCCGTCTAACTTTGGGACGTTTTTTTGGTACACCCGATACATGTGAAAACAAATTGCACAAGCTTTAATTGTGGATGTGACTGAAAATATTGTTACAAATTTGAGCTTTTGAATATAAGATAACCTGTGGAATAGACATAGTTTATAGTCGAACAAATATATTACATATAAAAAGGCAAGACGAGTAGTATTTTATCTTTACCATTAGAAAAAATAAAACGTCATGGAAGCTTCCACTAAAATTACCTAAACATAAAATTAACTGCTCGTGTTTATGTTTTGAAGTGTATCGTATAATATATATTTACCCAATAATAAACGTGTCACCAGTTGTCGCCATGTAAACTTGTGTTAAGAGTGTGTAATTCTAGCCTCAGTCTATTATATTCATATATATAATAGCCATCAAGTCTCATCTCATCTCATATCATTTTTCAAAATATCTTCCTTTTTTTTTATATATAAACAGGTGCTTGGAAACTTTTATATTCACACTTACTCACATATATATAGAAAATAATGGAAAATCCATGTACAGTGTATTATTAACAACCGGGAGGAAAAATGTCTTAACAATTCCCGCCCCCTATTATACCAGAAACTTAACTGAATTAAAATCAAGATTCCTGGAAATACTGGTATCTGGTTAGCTGTGCCTATTTCCTTATTTTTTACTGCATACGAAACATTATGCATTGCTAATGTCGAGATAGATCTCAAACTATTATCTAATCAAGACAATAATACTTGGACCTACATGCTAGTTTGTTCTATGGTTATAAACTTTTTATAACCCTAGAACAAACTAGCATGTAGGTCCAAGTCTTGTTGTTATCAACAGTTTTAAAGGCTAACGAAGTGTGAGTTATTCTGAATTAGTGCATGCTAAATTTTAAGATATTTATATCAAAAATATTTTGAAACTCGGACCCTACAAAGAAGCTTTTCTACTGATCATAATTGATAATTTTGGTATAAACCGAAATACAAAAAAATAAAGCAAATCTATAAAAACATAGTTATAATACCGTATATACTTATCTTCAGTAGGGACACAGACTGAAAATAGGCCAGTTGTCTGGAGATCGCATATCGTAAAGCTCTGTCTAACAACATGATTTCTTAAGATTTGTTTAAATATTTCTATACACCCAATTAGGCAAAGTTATGATATACATTTAATAATGTAAAGGTTCAAAAATACAATTCTGTGTAGAAATATGCATTTTTTCGTTGTAAAAATAAAAGAACATTGAAAAAATAATCTTGCAAAATGCACACAATGCTTAATTTAAACTCTTTATGGTTAAAAATTCACCTTTTTGAACTTTGAAAATACTATTAAACTGCCTATTGTTTTAATTATAGACCTAATGACATGCCATGATTTTGAATACAAATGATGCTGCCATATTGCTTGTAATAAGGACAATGCCAAAAACCAGATTTGTGAAGTGATTAGTTTGAAAGCCATAATTTTAGAGCAAAACTATTTTCTGTTTTCAGTCTTTCTCCTTTTAAAAAAAACTTTCAATACAACGGTTAGTGACAAAATTGATTATCAAACTTTCAGATGGGTTATAATTTACTTAATCAGACACTAAGGATTATACTGGCTCAGAATTCACACAAATTCATCATAGATATAGAGTGGAGTTTTCCGCCCTACTTATAGATAAAATTAGGAACTAGAGGAATTACTAGTTATATGATTGCTTAATAAAGTAAACTCAGTTTTGACCAGTCTAAAAATCCAATTACAATGCATGTACATGTATACTAAAATGACCTTGATGAAAATGACTTTCAAACTTATTAATGTGATTTAAACATTAAACAATGATGTATTCAAATTTTGTGTTTCCAAAACGATACCTCTAAACTCCAACATCCTGTCTCCTTCACAGTGACAACAACCATTCGGGGCGAACCCACGATTAGGGGGAATTCCTCCGTTCTTAGATAGAATAACCACAAGACCTCCACTAGACCCTGGGCATGTCCTAGCGGTATGCAGCAATTTTGTCATGAAGCCTTCTTCTGTAACAGTAACGATCTTACCAAACGTGATCATCTTTGGTCCGCCATGAGGGTGTGCTATAGTCACAACAACCCTCTCCACCCTAGCATCCGATACCAACGCCTGGTGCATCTTTTCTTTTACTGCTATGAAACATTCCGGAAGAGCCTTCACCCTGACAAACACCACCTTCTCCTCGGCATGACTGATACCATCGTACACAACAGAGTGTGACCGTCCTTCAGGGTCATTAATAACGATATCACATGATTTAATATCATTCAGCCTCTCCTCGCGCACTTCTAAACGATTAACTAATATAAACTGGCCCTTTCTATTTACTTGTGGGAAACCTAAGTATTCGGATTTAGTGCCATCAGTGTACGTGACATTCAAAACAGCCATTAGGTTAACATTGTTGAACAAGTTGAGATCTTGAATTCGTTGAGGAATCGGAGTAAATTTAAAGAAACACCTATCCTGCACACTCGAACCACCTTTTAACTCGGCCCCTCTGCTCGCCTCGATTCCTGTACTTACTTCACCATCATAGAAAAACTCAATAGTTGTGTTCGAAGCTTGGTCTGCGTCTTTTACAACATGGTCGTTGGTGAGTACGATATATTTTTCATCGATCCTATATACGACTCCGGAGCCGTAAGATGATCTGTTTTCTTCCTTCCTTACGGTTAACCGCACCACAGTTTGTCCGAGGTATTTTAAGTAGTCGTAGACCTCTTCCGTACGAATGGATTCCGGCAAATCCTCTATCTTGAATTGATTAAATCGGATGAACGGAGTTGTATGGTCGTCGTTTTTTGGACAATTTGTGACATCAATAATACTGTTAAAGGCCTCCGTTGCTACCTCCGCCATGGTCATGTAAACAGTGGTTATACAATCGTAAACTTTTAAGTTCCAAGTTACACTTAACGTTACACTTAACGTTACAAAGTTACACTTAACGTTACAAAGTTACACTAAACGTTACAAAGTTACACTTTGGAAACTAGGTTACACTTTTACGACCGAAATTACACTTTTACGACTTCACTTAAACGGTTACGTTGAAAATTGCACCACTTTGCCAATATTACTTAACAGTTAGCTAGATAGTAAAAAAGTTTGATTAAGTTGATGTTCAAAATTATTCTTGGTCAATAATTTACTAAAAACTTTTCAATGGAAACTCCAATATATTTTGCACGAATAGTAAATACTTTGTAATATCCAAATAGTCCGATAGTATTTTTGTTAACGCCTTACATTGTCAGAGTCGTTATATAACAGTGAAGATCACCGCTTTACAAGATGTTTGTGATTTATTACTATATATAGCCTTCCAATATACGGTCACTATGACATAATGGTTTCAACTACTCAAATTAAGCAACACCGGAAACGACTTCCTGTTTTAAATTCGATGGGTTTTCTAAGATTGTAGGTATTTCCCAGAAATCTGTTCTATTTATAGACGTCATATTACTAGTAATATTGAATCACTGTTATTGTGTACGATATTAAAATTAAAACCAATAATCTAGTTTCACTCTCATGTTTCTATAAAATGTAAATCTTTAAGATATTTTATGACTATAAATACTTCATGTTATGACTGGGCTAGAACCAGTAGATTTTCTGTGGGCAGATTGCCTGTGGGTGTTTAAATGTGATTTTGCATTCTCCAAAATACAATGTTTTGAATTTGAGTACAAATTTCACAATTGATTTTTTTAAAAAACCTTTGGCTGCGAAGAATTGAGAAATTATTAAAATTTCGTTATTGGAAATTCCTTACGTATCAGAGTTCAAAGATGATGTTTTCATTATGTGAACTTAATAAGTATAGAGTGTTTCTGTTAAAGAGATTGTAAAGAGATTTTCTAAATTTTTTATGTGTATCTGGGACACTGATAACTTCAATTTGCACCATTCTTATTTTCATTCCGACGTCTGTGTTTTGGTAGTGGCCAATCAGTGTCCCCGATACACATAAATAGTTTAGAAAACCTCTTTACAATCCAAATGAGGGGTAGGAGGGGGAGGGGAGGGGGGCTTGTTTGTGTAATGGTTTAAAGGTGTGAATACACCATTCAGTGTGTCCGGTGCAGTGTATAGTGTGGGGAAAGTGATCCAGTAGAGGCGAAAACAAGAGGTAGTGGGGCCAGTGACGATGCGGACACAATTCGCTTTTTCTCTTTGCTACTGTATCACTAATCTCGATCTACCTCGCCCATTGCACCAGACGTCGTATCTCGTCTATTCCTATCTGAAAGGTCTTGTAAAGAAGTTTTCTCAACTTGTATGTGAATCGGAGACACTGAACACTTATATTGTGTCATATTACTTACACTACCTGCATCACAATTATTGTAAACATAACTTTAACCCTGTGCCAGTGCCTTATATTGAATCAGTGCCTTATATTGAATAGTAACTGGTTACTCTTCAATCACCCTAATCACTACCTAACAGTTACGTGGGTTTGTTGTCTTAATCTTTTTTACCCGGATGTTATAAAAATATACCTTTGTCCCTTTATATCTATACAATTTAGGCCTAATCTAATCAGTTTTTTTTTCATCAGATGATACGCTTTGTTCTCGAAGAATAGACGTTCAACAGAATATACATGAAACAGTCGAAATGTCCCAGAACTGGCGATAAGAAATAGTGGTGATAAAACAAAATAATTGAAAGTCATGAAAAAACGCGACAGGGTAGATTTGATTTAGATGGAAATTTTCGTGACGAATTCCCCTCATTGTACACTGTGGCAGAGGAACAGTAGCGGCGCCAGCCTTTTGGAAGTCGGGGAACAAATATGAGACAGGCTGATTTAAAAGAGAGGGGAGGGGCAGCTGTCGGGGTTGAGATTCCAAAAGTGAAAACTATATTCCTTGGGGAGCATCCACACTTAAAGCGCTGCAACTTCATAGAAGTACCTAATAAATCACATTAGCTTTACAGGCACACTTAAAAGAGGTGGCGAGTAGATTGGTATCAGGTGTATCCAGTAAAGCCACAACTCTCGGAGCTAATGTTGAGTTGCTATCCATCTATACTGTGGTATAGTTAAATAGCTGTGGTCATAGTTGGATAAAACCGAGTTATGTCCCTTTAACTTAGTCTTGACAGCGATCTGAGTTTTGACAGGTATTTCATTGAGTCATAAGCTTACAGTTGGATAATTTTGTTTATATATCAACAGCTCTAGGCCTACGTTGACGATAAAATATTGAGTCAGTTTAGCAATGAATTTATCAATCGCATATAGGTATAGTACTAACTGTTATAGCCGGTCTATATAAAGCCGTTATTTGATTGGCTAGTATTTTTAATCCAGGTATTCTATTGGTTATTATTAATAGTATCATGTATTTTTCTAAATATAGAGAATCTCTAGGTAATATATAAATAAGATCGAAGAATGATTGAAAATTATACTCCAATTTCCATAATTCGTCTCTTTTTAAAGACAGAACAGAACAGATTTTAGGAATTCTAGTAATTCATTGATATAAGGTAAGGTTAAGTTTATCAAATGTAAGAATTCTTATAAAGAATGCAGGTTAGGCTATCTTAAAGATCCCTAGCTTGACGGACCTTCTTGGCAATTGTTGGCAATAGGAAAGAGTAGGTTAATACCATGGAGTTATATCATTATAATAGTTATACATTAACCTACATATGGTTATTGCCCAGGTGCAGCAATGTCTATTTATGCATAAGATTCAGACCAAAAAGGCTGTGCATGGCTTTTTTTTAAAGATTCCTTAGCAATATTGTAAATAGTAGGTTTATGCCATTGCCAATTAGTTATATATTAACCTACATAATGTGGTTAGTGCCAATTTGCAGCAAAAATATCCTAGATAGCATAGCTGCATGCCTTCGTCTCTTTCCAAATTCATTTATCTCAACAGGCAGGTGAATATGATGTTTTGAGCTGGTTTTCCGGTTGTACAACGATCTTTAACTTTATACAACTTTTTGCATGTAGTGGCGTATCTATGTATCATTAGGCGTTGGTGTTAAGGGGGGGGGGGGGGTGTTTGGTCAGGGTACGGGTCCACGGGAACTGTTGGGGCTCACGGCACCAGGTATTTAAAAGAATCAAGTAGCCTAACAGTTCTTGTCTTTAATTGCTTTTTATGGTCAGTCTGGACATTACTGACTATATTTGTTCTTGGTTCTTGAATCACATCATAACCTATTAGTCATTCCAATATATATATAGGATGGTGTTGACGGACGTTGGTGGAGGCCCACCGGTATCATTGAAGGTGGTGGTATTAGGCGATGGAGCAGTGGGAAAGAGTTGTCTTCTGATATCCTACACTACCAACTCGTTTCCTGCGGACTATATACCCACAGTGTTTGATAACTACAGCAATAGCATAATGGTGGACGGTAGGGCAGTGAATGTCGCTTTCTTTGATACGGCTGGACAGGTAATTCCATTTTACTCTCTTCCTTAGGTTTGAGGTGGTAGAGATACTATATAATGAATCCACAAAAGCACACATCGGGGAGGAATTCCACTACATCAAAAATTCAGTAACGCAAGCCTACAGAGTGGCGTCATCGGGGTTTATCCAAATCTTAAGGATGGCGTCATATGTCAGAAGTGACCAAATAAAGTTACTGGTAGTTGGTGATAGTTCAGCTGGCAAGAGTTGTCTCCTCTTGTCGTATACAACTAGAGCTTTTTCAAAAGACGACGTCCTTCCCATTGCCTATGTCGGCTACACTGGTTGTTATACAGTAGATGATAAATATGTAACGGTCTCTTTTTACGACACAGCTGGACAGGTATGGTTAGAATATCTATTACCCATTTCTAAACTTTGCCGTCATGGTTTAAAGTGATACTACGTCTAAGAATGAACATAAAATTTAATTCTCAAGAATGGTCAATATGAGTATATATTCATCAGTGACCTTGCCTGGTGTCAAAAAGTTACAACAGAATCCCTGGAAAATTTGAAAATTTATAAAACTATGTCATTATTGAAAAACGCTTAATCTTGATATTAAGTATGCATTTTTATTAAGTTTTTTGGATTTATCAGATTATAGAAGGATCCTGTTATGTTATTTATGAGACCAGGTATATCTACTGATGAATATATGCTCTTATTGGCCAAGTTTAAAATTCTTAAATTGTATGCAGTATTCCTTTTCATTATTGAAAAACGATTAATCTAAATGTTAAGTGTTTTTCAATAGTTAATTGCATATTTACGGATAATTACTAAGTTTTTCGGATTTATCTGATTTTATAATGGATCCTGTAAGTTATTTATGACACCAGGTATACCTACTGATGAATATATGCTCTTATTGGCCAAGTCTAAAATTCTTAAATTTTATGCTAATTCTAAGATGTAGTATCACTTTAACAAACCTTAAGACTTGATTTCGAAAACGGTTGATTGCAAAACTAGGCTACTGCGCTGCTTTGTTGTCTGTTTTGCCATTTTCTCCCTTTTCATGTTTTTTAAAACATTTTCAGGAGGATTATGACAGACTAAGACCATTGTCCTACCCTGATACCGACATCTTTCTACTGTGTTACTCCGTCGACAATGCCGATTCTTTAGAAAATATAAAAGAGAAATGGATACCGGAAGTAGATCACTACTGTCCAGGCGTACCAAAGATTATGATTGCATGTAAAGCAGGTATGTTGCCGTTATGAATGAAGAATATGCCAGAGGAGATAACGACTGCAATAAATGCTTTGCCATAATAACAGCAAAACGTATTAAGCAGGCAGTCAGGAGAATGCTACAAGGGGCTGACACTCAATGTCCAAATCATTTATTTCAGATTTAAGATACAGCAGCCGCTCGGAGCGGACGATTCCGGTACCGAAAGGAGTGGGAGAAAAGATGGCGAAAGACCTTGGATTAGACCATTACACCACAAGCGCTCTGACATTACAAGGTGTGGATGTCGCTATGCAAGAAAGTGTAAGTAATAAGAATTAACAGAATACATCCTTTTTTATCGAAGAACAAAGACAAATACGTCTCGTTATTGAAGGGTTGTAAAGAGGTTTTCTAAAGGTAAAGGTAACGGTCCTAGGATATTATTGACAGCTTTTATTTTCTAAAACCCACATACGTCTGACTGAAAATGGGAATGGTGCTAATCAATGCCATCAGTGTTCTAAATACACATTAAAATTCATAAGTCATAGGTCATAGGTCGTGAGTATGATGGAATTACACTGATCATCTTAAACAAGACTTAACTTTTTGAGAATAGTCTTCTCATCTGACTTGTATGTTTTTACTACTTTCAGTTTAGACTTGGAATAGCTGACAAGAAAAGTCACAAACACCGTAAAAGCAAGGGAATATTTGGTAAACTTTCAAAGAAGAAAGACACCCCTGTTCCCCCCGTCATGCCGCCAGCAGGTTTGTTTTATTTTGATATATGTAAACAACAAACAATGGAGGTTGTGGGTTTTAATCTTGGACGGTGATCTGGAATAAGTCATAAATTATGTCTTTTTTCAGCCAACCCAGCTGTAAATGGGTACAGATATTTCAGTTCAGATCAATACCATAAGTATCGTGTCCAAACCACACACCCATTCGTCATACTTCCTTAATACGACCGTGTCAAAACACGTATTCGTAATACGATGTACCATAAGATACAGCCAAGAATCAGCATGTAAAAAGCACCCACTTGATAATGCAATACAAAGGATATTGTGACATTTCACGTCCTTCATTTTGGGAAACTTTGCTGAATAGACCCTATACTTTTATACTATTTCCAACTGTTGAGAGATCTTTAACGTGCGAAACCTACAGCAATTTTGAGAAACGCAGTTCATTTAACTTTAACTTCTCTGTGATTGTTCAGAAAGTCTCATCAGAGTTATCGGCGATAGTTCATCTGCAATAACCGGATTGTCATATTTCATAACGTCACTATTGCAAAGGGTCTAACATGATATTAGCAGCTTTTGTGATAGTGACGTTATAAAAAGCCTTTCCATAACAACAAGAACCAGACTGAAATTGAAATGAGCAATTCAATAAATTGACCGGATATAAAATTTCCAGCAACTACATACCACTAACCTTTTTTCAGGTGAGGCTCCGAGAATTGAGATTCAGACTTCAGTATTCGCTGATCAACTTTATCAGATGTTTGTGGATGCCCAGTTCACTGATGTTGAATTTGTGGTTGAAGAGAAACACAAAATACAGGCTCATAAAATGTCGTTATGTTCGGCTTCTCCACATTTTGCCAAAATTCTGGGTGTTTCGTCAGCAATACAGGTAAGCGGGGCAAATTCTTCGTCTGATTCAATCTGGTGAAGACACAGAGCTCTTCCTTCCGACTTTTTACGCAATAAAGTGTCGACTGGCTTGCAGGTTGATGTGGGACCAAGGGTGTTTTCTGTTGTCAGACTTGCTTAGAATCTTCTCAGCAGCACCACAGAGATGAGCTTGTCTTCCTATCACAATTGTGCATGTTCCACTAAGATGCGACAAGACACGATGTTCGGTGTGGAATAATTGACATGGTAGAATATAGAAGGAGTGAATACACGAGAAACTTGTCCGGCCGGACACGATGCGGACATGATTGCTGTCTTTTATTTCATCATCCCGAACTGTACACCTTGGCGAACATCGTACCTCATGTATCCGCCCCTCTATATTTCTAACATTAATTTCTGATAACGAAATCATTTTCCATTTTCCCTTTTCCAGAATCCTCAAAGCCAAACAATAAACAATATAGAAAACTACAGTCTGGATGATTTGAATATGGGGACAACACCTGGTATTGCTGCTGCTTACTATAAAGAAGATGAGACTGGTAAAGCGAGATTAACTGTTGAGATCAGTTCTGATATAAAGGCATCAACATTCCTGAGAGTGGTCGAATTTCTTTATACAGGTAAGGTAACGCTAAATGTCCAACTGTCCTGTCTAGTCACATTGTGTGGAACATTCCCAAGATCTTATTCACGCCTCGTTTTGGAAACAACGAATTCGAGGCTCACAACGCAATAACGTCACCTATTGAAAAGAGGACGACGTCATATTGATGCCACTTTTGATAATCCTCATCAACCTTAACAGACACTGATAGTTACTTGTTCTGTTGTCAATAAACTTATTTAATATTCAACTGCTTCTTTTAGATGATCTGTTGGTATTTTCACGGTAGACCGTTTCATTTCTAGGTCTACCCAAACTATCAGAAGACTATCCAGAGCAAGATCTTAAAGAATTACTGAGAGTGGCTGAAATATTCAAATTGGGTCAGTTAGAAACTGTTTGCTTGAATTATGGTAACGAGGAAGAATTTCTCAATCCCAGCATTGGAACGTTCCTTAACGACCAAACAGCGTCCAAAATTAAAACAATGTTTCTCAACAAGCCGGAAGGTGCTGACGTCATATTCAACGTGGAGGGTACAAAGATATATGGACATAAATCAGTGCTCAGATCCAGAAGTGACGTCATGAACGCCATGTTGTGTGGACATTTTACTGAGTCTGCTCAAGCTCTGTCAGAGGTAGGTTAATGCATTACCATCAGCTGTATCATAATCATTATTATTATCATCAGCATCCTTTTCTGAGCACCATCAGCTGCATCATCATCATCCATGTCCAACATTATTCTCTTCATCTTCATCAGCTGTAGCAGCACCACCAATTACACGTCAAGCACATACCACATTACCATCATCTTACATCGCCAACATCATCATCACCAACATCATCATCATCATCAGCAGTAGCATCAACATTTTTTCATCTCAAACAATTTGTGAAACATGCTGACCCTTCCAATGCTCGAATGAGATTGAATGAGCCCGTGACGGAGACTGAAAATACATTTTCTTAGAAGGGTCCAGGAAATGAGGCTGACCCGGCATTTTGCCTCCCCACCCCACCAATTTCAAAGTTTTTATCATTTTACATAGTGATGAACTTCCTATGAGGCCCTCATGACAGTTTCTGTGACCCAAACTTACCCCACCCCACATATTTCATAGAAGCTCCACTTAATAAGCGGCTATTTACATCTCCCCCATTTCTCTTTTTCAGGTGTCCATATTAGGTACTACACCGGAAGTATTTTTAGCATTATTAGAATATCTCTACACCGACCATTCACCAATAGATGACGTCGATTCAGTGGGACTACTTATTTTAGCGAATGAATATAATGTGATGCGGCTTGTTAATTTATGTGAATTGTATATTACCAAGGAAGTTGATAAAAGTTGTGTTAAAAGTATTGAAAAAATGGACATTGACGTCATCGGCTTACTAATGACTGCTCAGGTAAGGATCTGCATCTTGGTGATCATCCGAAAGTTTTCTCTTCCCATTTTGACACATAGCTGGGTGATCAAAAATCACATGCGGTAGTTCAGTGATGGCTAGATGTCCGACAGATTCGCGATCATTTGAACTGACCTGTTGGTCATGTACGGAAGAAAGTGTCAAATCAACAGCACTGCAGCTCACCCTTAACCTGATATCAAATGTAATGGTAGCGCATTGGCGTTTCTTCGAATGGGCCTCAGAAATGAGATTGATTGGCCTTGCCCCCTACCCCGCTTTTTTATTTATGTCGCACAGAGAAATAATTGCTTGCGACTCCCAATTAAGTATTTTATTACTTACACTACTCGGCTCCGGGGGTCGGGTTATCCCTGTTTACCTGTTTGATTGTTGGATTTGCTATGTTCATTATTCCTTCATCCCATCAACTCGGTTCTATTTCAGATTCATAATGCTGATCAACTGAGTCAATGGTGTTTACATTTTATAGCGTCAAACCATATCGCGTTCAACGAGAGAGATGAGTACAGACTATTGGACGGTGAAAATAAGGAATATATCGAGACCAATCAGTGGCCTCCATTGTCATACCTTGCTGAGGTCGAGGAATATGAAAGACAAATGAAGAAAAGGGGAGAGAAGTGCGTCATTATGTGAGGTGTTGGCTTTAACGTTATGTAATTGTGAAATTTTAAGAATACTGAAAATAACGTTCCATTATTGCTGAGAACGCCTTTTGAATTCGGACCTAGTTCTACTAGGACACTAACTATCGATGTGGTTTTGAGCTAAACGTGGGGTATTATGATATTTTGTAAATAAGGCCACTTTCAGCCCAAAGGTAATTGTAAATGAAATGAAATGATGTTAAAGTATTTCTCTTCTGCCCCGAGGGACTCTAACTACAGTTACATTAATTATTTAAAAAATAAATTTTTGAATAATGTCTTTTCAGATTTTTTTATAAAGCTCTAAAACGTTATCTGTGATCTGAATGCTCATGTATTTGTTACTTTTTTGCTTATTAAAATTTGAAATATATTATGTTTGTACATTTAATAATATTAACATTGTTAAATATAACGTAATATTCTAAATGAAGCTGACACGGTCGGTAAGATAAGCCTTTGAGCCCACCAGACAATTCTATTGCCACGACTCAACACCCCACTAAATGATCAAAGGTAACCTCACATAAGAACCTAAAGGAATTTGCCAGCAGGTTCATAGCTGACGAGACTGTAAGGTGTTATAGAATCATATCACCGCTATAAGAATCTCTTTTTCTCACTCGACACCTCTGAACTCCCGGTCAGAAGACGTCTTGTCTCATCTTGTCAATCTAATCTCAAGTGTCGGCATCTTGACATTAATTAGCCGGAAAACACATGTCACACATCACGTGATACACATGCACGAGCAGTGATGTATTTTGTAGAAAGTGAAAGTGTGAGATATCACAGCTCGTGAGGTAATTAATAACCTCCCCTTCTTTTGTAATTACATCAAATATGCACCATTATATCACACTGGACTATTAATTATTCATAGGCTTTGACTTCGATATAGACTGTTTACATCTGTCATCTTAGAGATATTCCTTCGCAATGGAGATCAACACGAACGATAATGACAACTTATTCTCTCTGATGTTTTTAAATCCTCTAAATGTCTGGTAATGAAACTTAGTTAGCTTATTCCCTGTTTGATGTATAATGGCGAAAGTCTGTACTGTCTACTCAATGCATCAGCTTGGCGACAGATACCATCACTTCCGGTGTTAAAGTTTGAGCGATTTGGAAAGATTTCAAAGTACCTTGAGCTCTCGAATCTTTTCTGGTATAGTACTAGTACTTAAAGTTTTATTGCAACCATTGAATTTCAAGACTGCACGACGTCTTCACCCCTCACTGTGGGATTATTTCTCCTCTTCTGTAACATTATTATGATCGTGAGTTAGGTTCTTGACTGAACTCACCAGATGATGGTGCATCGCTGATACTAATAATAACAAATCCCAAATTTCTACAACACGCAATGCGAGAACAAACTTAGTGACAATATACAAAGGACACAGGAGAAAAACTGGTCTGAGTGATCATTTAGTCTGTTACTTTCAATGATTCGTCAATTGTTAACGTCTTCAAGTCAATATTTCTCGACTGACAGGGACAACAATTGGTTTTATTGGATTTCATTTTGACATCAGTTGATGTTTCCTTCATTGATTAAACAACAGATGTTTCTAGCTGACTTTTTTTAGGTTTTTAATCTTCTTTCAGTAATAATTCAATAAAATAAAGATAGCTCAGAACGTGTTGGAACTCCTGTAACGAACTGACGAAGGTTAATGCCGGGTGAAAGGGATTCTAACCGCAATTAAATTTCTAATTTTAAAGGAAATGGTAGGAATAATTCTACATTTTTAGCTGGTAGAGCGTAGGAAAAATTGGTTGACTGCAGGAAATATAACTGAACTGTAATTATACTGCGTTTATAATGGAATTTAACTCATCATGCAAACGTTCATTCGTTCGTTCGTTCGTTCGTTCGTTCATTCGTTCGTTCGTTCGTTCGTTCATTCGTTCGTTCGTTCGTTCGTTCGTTCGTTCGTTCGTTCATTCACATATAGCTATTTACCTTTCTATATATTAACCTATTACGTTATATATTTATTAACGACCTGCTTTAGAAAATAGGCATTGAGTGGCGGTAGACAAATAAGACCAGGACAATGGCATTTCTAGGAAACATTAGGTGAGAGGACCGGGCAGAGGCCGCAAAATCTTCCAAGGGGCCACAGACCGGTCTTTCACTATGTAAAATGATAAAATTTTGAAAGTGGGGGGCACGGCCACTGGATCAGGCGTAACTTTTCCTTTAACTAATCACACTTCCCTTCTGTCTAATTCCATAACAAATACTGGACCAGATGATAATCCTGCTAGCATTTCTCACTTGTTACATGAATTCTAATTACCCATTGTCTCCAGTTACAGGCCTCTTCCTTTCTGGATTGATCCCGAGACAGGCCGAAATGATATCTTCGGGTCCCCCCTGTCAGTGATGCAGGTAAGAGAGGGGCTGACATGGACAAAGCATCTGGTAGTTTGGATGGAACAATAAACCGAGGCCCTATGTGTTACAAACTTTGCTCATTAAACATTCCTTGACAGTTGGAAATCGAGAAAGAATAGGCTGATGCTGCTTTCATGGCAAAATTCTCCTCACTGCAAGTTGTTTCCTGTCTTCATTAGTCCAAAAAGGTGCAGGAAAGTAGGACGAATTGAACTCTGTCAGACCTATAGTGTGTCAAGTTTAGTCAACGAAATAGAACTATAAAAATAAAATATTTCTTCATAGAAAAATGAAAAGAAATATATAGAGCATTATTTAAATCAGAAGTTTTAACTGGAATGAATGTATAGTAATTTCAAATATAGCTGAAGGTATTTATTACACCGTTCTAATCTAATTTAGAAATAATGAAAATTTAATTCTATTATTAGGGAACATAACTCAAGGCAATCAGGAACAGATGTCGTTTCGTTACAACGACAAAAAAACTCTGAGTAGAAGCCGTAATTATTTTCTTGTGAACCCTCCAGATATTAGCCTTGCCCTCTTAGTGACAGAATTCACAGAACCAAAGAAGCCACATTGAATGCCGCCTGAAGAATTGTCACTGATGTAACGAAATATTCTGATTTTTTTTTCGGTTTTAGTTTTTTCGAACGCAGGTCATCAAAGAGGCTGACTTGATATTGTCAGTTTATAACGCAAGTCATACAGTATGTATAGTTTTAGTGGAATTGCAGGAACCACAGACGTCTGAATGAAATTGGAATGGTGCAAATTGATGCTCATGTCCTCGATACACATTTAACCTTTTTCAATTCCTTTAATAATATGCGATAGCCAACTTGTTTTCGGTAGTAAAAAGTCCAGCCTTAAAAATTTGAGAGAGTTATTGATATCTCCGGTAGTAAAAAGTCATAAGTCCAATTTTGTGTCGTAAAATGAAATGAAATGAATGAATGGAGTTTTACGTCCTACTTTTCTGCACCATGTGGGCTAATGAAGGCGGGGAAAGCCATGCAGGGTGCGATGAGGGAAATTTTTCCAGTAAAGCAACGTTAGCCTGCTCTTTTTCGATTTCCAACTGTCGAGGGATCTTTAACGTGCACAGCCTGTAGCACACGGGGCCTCGGTTTATTGTCCCATCCGACTAGACGCTTTTTCCATGCCAGCCCCTCTTACCTGCATCACTGACAGGGGGAAACCGGGTTGAAAAATTCGAAGGTATTATCTCGAATTTTGTGTCGTATTATAAAATGTAAAATCAGTAAGTTATATATGTCGAGTGCCTGTGAATAATACTATAGCATAATGTGTTTAAGTTTAAACCATCCTGACATTAGTTCTATAATATACAATACATTGAAACTAGACAGATTAAACAACAGAGGCAGTTCTACCTGGTGGGGGGTCGGGGAAGCTAGAAGTGTATTGTGAGCTCCCTTGGACAATTCTGTGGCTCCTGTTCAACGACAGGGGCGTGCGTATTGCAAGGGCTGAGGTCGTGGGCTGATGAATTGAAATGGAGTTTTTCGCCTGTTGCTCTGTACCTTGCTGAGTTGCAGCATGGAAACAATGATTAAATGTAATGTGCATTTCACCATTTCTTTGCATGGGCTTTGGTGTCAATTCGCCTTCTTTCAAGAAGATTCTAACTTCTTTGGGTGCATCGGATGTGCTACTAACGTCTCCTGTGGACTGAGTTAGTTATATCCTTCCTCCACTGCAACACTCCAAAAATCGGACATGTATCTAATAAAAAAGGTCTTGATGTATGCCTCTGTATATAGTGACCTCCTTAATTCAATCTGGAAATTCTACATAGAGTTATAGATGATGTTTTCATGCCATTAAAGTTTGCGAAGGCATGGAGGTGTTAATGTGATATCACATACATTTCTGCCTGAAGTCCAATGTCCCCCACCACTCTCCCCCCTCCCCTCTCTCTCTTTCTACTCTTTACACGTCTGTATCATGCTAATAAAATAACATACAGGTAAAATACATAGATACAATCTCATCTACCTTTCTTTTCTTTAACGATTTTTATAGCTCACGACAGATGTAGAAGTTTGGCCTCAAGGTAACAGGGAGAACTTTATCTTCGTGAGAACCGAGTAGAAATGGTAAACTCGTGCCAATATAGACTCTCTGTATGTTTATATAATAGTAGATAGTAATTCTACTTTCGTTTCTTTTTTAATTAAAATTTCTATACACCAAAAGTGAATAAGATACATCTTTCTAATTTTAGCATTTACAACTTACAATTCAGCTGGGGTGCTTTTGCATGGGTCAGAATACCAAATTCTACTTTCGTTTTTTTATAAATTATTATTTTCTGGTCACCAACCTTTAATGAGAAATGGTTTATAATTATGGTTTTTTATACCATTTTTCCATTTATACAAGTTTTTACAATGGCACAGTTTTGTTGGTAGTCGTAATTTCATTTAAGATTTGGAGTTAAAAATTGAAAATTTCAGGTAGTGCAAATTTATGTACTTAGATAGAAAATATTTACCAAAAAAAACCAAAGCACGATGGTTCTTTAAATTGGCAAGCAACGCAAGCACCTTTTTGCAATTTACAAAAACACGTTCGCAATCGTCAAGCATTTTTTTTTGCGATTGTCAAGTATTATTTTTTCAATTGTCAAGCAATATTTTGCAATGTCAAGCACTTTTTTTTTGCAATAGTCAATCTCTGCAAGCACCTGTTTGCATATCATGTCACCATATTTACCATCAAAATGTTTGCTCATACACAAGTATATAATAGATAAAAGCTCTTTAATATAAATTCCAAATAATAACGGTGCCTGGTTGAGGGTCAAAGTTCAAATTGATCTACTTTCTTCCAGTTTTACCTGTACCATAAATAACACCGAATTCATCACGAAAGCTAATTTTATCGGCGTGGGAAAGTTGTAGAATTTCGCGTAATGTACTGTTCTGCAATCAGCGTTCTGCATTCCTCACATACCTAACATAGAGTCTGAGATAAAAACATAGGTAATTTCTTTACATGTGATAATACTGGAATAATAGAGTGAGGAAACTAGGTAGATTTATAGACCCGGCACACATTGTATGATGACACATTCAAAATACACATGATGTGTTTTACAGATTCAGATTTCTTTCGGCAAACATTCTAAACAATAGTAATAAGATATATAACGTTAGAAGTTGACAAATACAAGTAATGGCTATGCAATTCGCTTTTGCACAAAGCTGAAGCAATCAAAAGCAAAGGTAAAACCTAAAGCAGTAAGAAACATGTAAATTTAAAAGCCAAAGCAATCAAAGCTGACAAATTTCAAAACATATTCAGCAAATAAAATTACATTACGTAAATTCTCAGGTCATGTTGCTGGGCTGGAAATTGCAAATTTTATCCTAGAGTTGTCCGACGACACGATATAAGCTTAATCCACCAAGAAATTTATAAGGTAGTTTACAACTGACAAGACCTGTTAGAATTTATATAACAAACCCTTCACTTCCAGGACATGAGTTAGTGTACTGCTATTTGATTTGGATTGTCGTCTGTCATATTAGGTGCCATGGGTTCGAATCTTCCGAAAGTCGACCCGGTATCGGCCTTCAACCTTTATCACCATGCCATAATTGACATGTACTGACTTGATAACATCAGACGACAAGTCCATATTTGGATAAAGAATTCCAGCACGAGGACAACAGTAACAACTAACAACTTTTTGTTTCTTTGTTTATTCATTTGTTGATTTTTAGAGTTAATCTGAAACGTGGGTTTGTTTTTGAAATGACGATAACAATAGAGTTTTGTTGGGGAATAGACTTACACAGGACAACTAGCCACGAGATGAAACGTTTAAATTATTTCCTTTGCTTCCTTTGCAAGCAATTCTGTATAAAAAAAAAAGAAAATGCCATATTTTTCAATTATTACAACTGAGATCACGAGGAACTTTTCTACCAGCTGGTTCTTGGCAAAACCCTTCGGTACTGATCTTTCCATGATTATCTTTGTCATTGATCTTTCCTGGATTATCTTTGTCATTGATCTTTCCTGGATTATCTTTGTCATTGATCTTTCCTGGATTATCTTTGCCATTGATCTTTCCTGGATTATCTTTGTCATTGATCTTTCCTGGATTATCTTACATCTAGGTTAACTTGAATGATGAGGAACGATGACAATCATGATTATGGATCAGAATAGCAAACCTATCTCACTATCTCTAACTAGTGACCTTGGCAAGTGCTTCTATAGGAGAGTATCTTCTAACACCCATCACCAACCTTTGACCCTCGAAGGTCAATTCGATTACTCAGGTCAATCTTAAAATTAATCAATTAAACAATTTTAATTTCTGGAATTAGTAATTGTTGGATTGAATGAGCACGACCAATCGAACACGTATTGACACCATCTTGAACAAGTTATCTAGCCACTAAACGTGTCAGAACAATTATAATTAGTTTAAGAACATTTGGCTAATATTGTTCCTCGTGCCTGAAATTCCAATATTACGCCATTTTTCTACAAGAAGAGTCAATATTGTCTTTGGTTTGTTTACCGATCTTCTGTTGGTTTAATTTGTTCAATGCATTTGGTTCTAATATCCTCTCTTCGTCTTCTTATTGGTTCTAATATTCTTGACAGTAAATCATTGGTTTTTCTCATCACGTTAGCAATTGGAAGAAATACTTGTAGTTTACTAAAAAACAGTTTTCCGAATATTCTATACAAATTTTGCGTTGAAATATTAGGAGATGAGAGCCGACACCGGGCCGACTCTCGAAAGCACTGACACAGTCATCAGGATTTTTCTTACCCTGGGGAGGATTCGAACCAAGGGCACCTAATCGCTTAGCAGACGAGAATCCCACTCGTTACCGACTTAAGGGATATAAATGTTTTTGAACTTTTCAGCATGCAAATCAGGTTTTTTATATTCAGCCTAAAAGACAAACGCCCATATGACGGGGTCAGAGAAACATCTAAAATCAAAACCGCCCAAACACTCCAACCACCCAAACACTCCCATCTCTCCAAACACTCCAACCTCTCCAAACACTCCCACCTCTCCAAACAGAAATGAAGTAAAATGCGCCAAAACTGCTGTTGTTTATTTTTAAGATCACAGATTTCATTCAATTGTTATTATTCAATTTGGAGGTTGGGTATTTAACGCAACCCTCATTGAACTGCATCTACAAACTCTCTACTGTCCTTGAAATAATCGTGAAAACTCCGACACTATCGTGCAAATTCGAACCAGCGACACCATCGTGTAAATTCGAACCATCGACACCATCGTGTAAATAGGAACTAATGACACCATCGTGTAAATAAGAACTAATGACACCATCGTGTAAATTAGAAACAGCGAAACCATCGTGTAAATAAGAACTAATGACACCATCGTGTAAATTAGAAACAGCGACACCATCGTGTAAATTAGAAACAGCGACACCATCGTGTAAATTAGAACTAATGACACCATCGTGTAAATAAGAAACAGCGACACCATCGTGTAAATAAGAACCAGCGACACCATCGTGTAAATAAGAAACAGCGACACCATCGTGTAAATTCGACCTCGCGACACCATCATGTAAATAAGAACCAGCGACACCATCGTGTAAATTCGACCTCGTGACACCTACTCACCAACAATATTCGCGACAATATAGCAATTGGTATCAAATATCAACTAATAGGAAAGGCGTGGAAGTATTAAACCATAATTAATTAGAGAGAGAGATTATCAAGATTTCCGTCTTATTGTCAACCTCTTCATTTCAAACACTTCCTTAATAACACATCAAGTTTGACATGCACACGCTCTAGCACGTGCCGTGGTTCTACACACTTCAACACTTGTTAAAACTTGTTGTATTGAGGACTTGAGTGTCTTAATAAGTTATTATTCCTTTTATTACCAATCGATATTTCTGAATTTTTAGTAGGAAAGATTTTCAGTGAGGAAAAATCCTGAAGTAAAGGGTTATAAAACAAGTGCTGTCTCTGAGTCACAATCGTTCATCAGTAAATTGTAAATCCATCAGTAAACCCTCAGTAAATGGATACAAATCAGCTGGAAAGGGCCGGCTTTGTAAAGAAAGAGCTCGTAGATGACTGTATGCTCTTAAGAAGATATAGTACTTTTATACACAAATATCTAATATTCTCTTTATGTCCAATACGACCAACATGTTTTGGTCTGTTTTGACAACAAACTGGGTTTTATATTCCAATATGTAAGTCTGTTTTGCCTTGTGTCCGATTTAACTATTACCATCTTAATTGAGTCTTTTTAAAAAAGCTAAAAAAAAGAAAAGAAATTATAACTGTAATAAATATAATAATAGGTTTTCATTCATTAATTTGTGACTTGATTCATCTGTCACTAGCATCTGTTACAACCTTCATATTACAAAATACTTTAAATTAGGACGGTTTCGGGCACAAATAACGATTTTTCTTCAAAATGATAATTCAAATAAAATCTAGATTTCGGTTAATTATTTGGTTTTATTTGAATCTGTCATATTATTGGATTTTTTAAGGTTGAGTTGATTTTAGAAAATTACTTAAATATTTTTTTTATTTCCTGAAAACAATGGAATTGTTCTAACACCAAGTCTGGCAAAGCTCGGGGAAAGAAAGGGATTCTGCAGATGCACACGCTTAGGCGTCTCCAGGGACCGGGGGTACAAATTGGGGACAGACTGACTGATTTGGGGGGTGGGGGGCAAGTGTCGATATTCAATTCAAAATTTGGCGATGTGGAAGCTGGATTGAAACTTGTAAGCGTCTGAAAGGTTTCCCACCTAGAAAATCGCTGAAAGGTAGAATTTATTCGGTGCACTCTGGCTCAATTACGGGCAAAAACTTATACAATTCTTATTTTGAAATTTGTTAGAATTGAAGTCGGTGCCAGTGGGGATACAAAGAATTTGTCCAGGGGAACAAATGAGACCACCCACCCCACTCCTTTGTACCCCCACTGTGCACGAGGATTACGATTACGTGATATTCAAACCATTATACATGTAGGTATTTTGATAAAACGCCTGTGTTTCCTTCAAGTCGTTTAAAAACTATATTCATTCGTACCAAGTTGAATGTTATTGTATAACATACTCTATCAATTGAGGTAAAATACATTTTAAAAACTATTTCTCTAAGTAATGTACATCCTAGTACATTCACATAGGAACATGCATATTCTCACGTGTACGCATGATGCAATTCAAACTAGAAATGTCAGGCCCCGATAGTGCCATAATTTCTTGAATTTAATTGGCGTTTCTTTATTTCTGAGGTATATTGCCCTATACTCATTATATATAAAATATCGCTATTTATTTTCCCACGGTTCCTAATCATTTACCTTAATTGTATTCACCACATGTGCCATATTTTTTTCAGAATATATTCATATGTTTCACTTATGACGTTCGAGTGCACGTGCGTGCGATCTGTGTGTCACATATGTGCAGAGATATGCATTGTTTGTATTGCCACCACATTGCACGTCTTTCAGTATATCTGTGTTTGTTGAAATTTGAATAAATGAGCATACCCACGAGAAAAATTAGAACAAATTAGCACAAAATTTATTTTGATATTGCTCCCAAAATGATCAACAGATGAAATAAAACGAAATGTGTAAAGGTTTATCAATATGTTGGTGTTTTTTTTTAATCTGGATTTGGGAACGATTATTATTATTATTACAACTACAATTATTATCCTTTAAAGGGACAGGTGTGCAATTTTGGGGGGTGATTTTAGTCTTCAATATATGTAGCTCAAATTTCGACGGTGAGCTGTGAACACTATCACTGATTAGCTCAGCTAAAAAATTACAGTTTCTGAGACTAAAGTATGATTGATCACAATAATGGCACACCCTTCCCTTTAAATTATATTTCTAGAAGATGTTATTAGAAAAATATTATTTCTAAGAATAAATGAATATTTTTAAATAAATAATAGCAGAAATATCATTGAAGATAGTAAAGGGTCAGGTGCGCCATTTTTTTACCAATCGTACCCTAGTCTCAGAAAGCTAAGCCAATCATCGAAATTTGAGCCTCCAAATCCATTGTGTGTCCAGAATTATCCGTGTTTGAAAGTTAAAAAGACGAGTCGTCTTTTCTTGAGACACTGGAATATATAGAAAAGACATCTATAGAAATAAGAAAAGAAATTCCTAGTTTGAGATATTATTTAAAGAATTATGAAATTTTCGTACATTTCTAGTATTTCTGAAGACAGTTAATTTATATTCAAGGCTCAAATCAAATCAACTCTCGAGAATGGCGCACTTGTACATTTAAGTGGGAGAGAACCTTTAATAAAGATATTACGGTATTGTTAGAAATATAACTGAAATATGAATTGGGAGAGCGCCTTTAATAAAGAAATATAATTAAAGATATTATCAGGTGGAGTTTGATTGAAGTTAACTAATCGATGATTCTTAGTCTTGGTTTGTTTATTATATTGGTAGAAATGTTCCACGAGACTTGTCGTTTATTCTTCATTATTAATTAATAAAGTTTGGTACCAAGTGACAGTCTTCTAGCACCAGAACTCAATATTTCACGGTGACAAAATTCTCTTAATGACACATATTTTTGACAAGAAAGAGAAATTTTGGAGTATAGTATATTATATATATGAATATCATGTTTAAATGACAACTTTTCATTTCCTTTGATATCATGAGATTGTCTTATAGTATCCAAACTCGATATTTTACAGTTCGAGATATTCCAGCTTCTGATGGATATTTTGATAGTTGTAAGTTAGAGAGGAAACAGAGGAAAACGGCCCTGTTAAATGGGGATTTTCCATACCTCCAAAGATGTTTTACTGACATAATATTAAATAAAATTTCTGGCTGCGCACCTAATTTTAAATGGTTAAACTTAGGGAGAAACACGTCGAACGTTGCACAAAACTTTTACACAGTGATTGTTGTTCTATAAAACTGTTTCTTTATATCATAATCACAATTACTAAATGTCATTTAAAGACATGAATACTGTAGACTAATTATCTATAATTGTGTGGTAAATTTGGAATTTTTTCTGATGTTAATTGACTAAGTGTATAATATGAATAACATTTATTCCTTATATTTCGTGATAGATAAAGTAATACCATTGTTATACATAGGCGTAGGGGACGGGGGGG